TATATATATATATGAAATGGAATTTTATGTAAAAAAATATTTGAAATGCTTGAACAAGACATTTGTTTTCCTTTCTTTATATATATAAAAATTGTCCTTGAAGTGTACCTTAGAATATGAGACCACAACAAACAAGTCAAACATATAAATGCTTTCATTGAGGGGGAGAAGAAACTTTTCTTTTTTTTTTTCCAGCCGTTCTGAAGCCTCTTAGGGTCAGTCTAAACCAGTAGCACAAAATAAGACTCCTTTCATTGTGTAAGGACTTTGATATGCTAATCCCAACAGCTGGAATTTGCACTTGCATTAGTCCAGATATAATTTTTGCTCAATGCACAAACATGAATCGCTCTATAACAAGCTCGAATGAGCAGTTAAGCTTCTCTAACCTGATAAAAAAAATAAAGGAATCCTTCTATTTCTTTCAGCACAGTTTGCCTTTGTGTGTCACTGAACAATCACATTATTATGTATGATGTTGGGGGGGAATAAGACCAGTTCATCCTCAGAACACTTGATTCATTCTTTTTGGTTTTTGCAGGTTTTTGTCGTCTCTGGCGTACATTTTTATAATGAAGAGGTTAAACAGCAACAATTGTTTACGTTTATCACAAAGGACACTTGTGTAAAGTGAAATTATATTCTATATGTTGTGGAGAGAGCCCGACTCAAGGCACATCCATGGATGGTCCCCTCTAAACCCAGGATTTTTGGAGCGTTGGCTTTGAGATAAGATCTTTAGTGACAGAAAAAAAGATGAAAGAAAGAAAAAAAAGAAGAAGAAGAAGTGGGGGAGTAGGGGTTTGAGAAGACTGGAGCTAAATTTACCCCCAGTTCACCAATCGATCACTACAGATCGCAGCTCTGCTCCAGGCTCCCATGCATCAGCGGCTGGCCGCTCTGCTCCTCACCGAGGAGGAGGCTGCCGACGCGCCGCATGTGCGCGCCTGCAGCCCGCTTCACGTGCTTTGACAACAGTGAGCCTAAATAATACATGGGAAGTTAAAACGATCTAATTTAGCTGCCACTTTTTCTCTTCCGTTTTTTTTCCGTTCCTTTTTTTTTATCATTTACACACTGTTTAAAGCAGCCGAGTCTCTTGTTTATTTGTGTCAGAATTTGTCTACTTTTTGGTCACATCACTAAGTTGGCACGCTTGTGCCAAAAACGCATCGCGAGCATCTGCGCTCAAAACGCATTCTGCTAAATTAGCGAAGTGTTTGTTTACTTTTATGTTTTTTTTTTTTTTCCTTTTGTACAAATAACCACCAAATGCACGGCGACGTCGCGTCACAGCCCACACTTCTCCAGCCTGGACATCAATGGACTTAAAACCAACATTAAAGTCCAAACTCCAACTTTTTGGAGGCATAAATTCCAATTTAATGCCGCTTTACGCGTTCCAGCTCACTGAAACGCCCCGCTGCCCCCCATCCCTTCCATCCCTCTCTTTCTATCTCTCTCTCTCTCTTACACACACGCACACACTCACATTCACACACACACATTGTGAAACACTTCCCATTCAGCCCAAACTCGACAGCCAAACAAATCAATCCACATCTGGTTACGTTTTGATTAACTTGAATTTAGTTACCCATGCTGCCTCTCGGACAATTTCCAATCACGCACAGGGATGATTTTAAAAAATGTCTAAATCCTCATGTTTGATCTTTTACAAATTATTTCCTTTAAATGTATATTTAAAAATAAGTTGTTTGGAATCTAAAAATAGGTCCCAAATACAAAGATAGGGATCTTACGAGTTGTTATTCCACATCATCTTATTCGAGAATTATAAGCGTTAATCATAAAATAGTAAAGATGAGACAAACAAAACGCTTACCTTTCTTGAAAAGCAGTGAAGCCGGAAAAAAAAAAGCAAAAATGAAGTCAGTTGCATTGGATTAAAAAAAATGATTTGAAGCAAAAATCAAAATAATAAATGTCAGATTGTGGAAAGAAAGTCTGGTTGGAACTCCTCTCTCAGGTCTGAGGCATGCTCTCCTAATCTGGGACACACACGCAGAGACGGGGAGAGAGAGGGAGAGGGAGAGAGAGAGAGAGAGAGAGAGAGGCTGGCTATCAAGCGGCAGGTCCCCCCCGCAGCCCGCACGGTCCCCCGCACCGGACGCACTCTTCCATGGCACGCAAGGTGTTGCGCTGCGCTCAAGTCATCAACGCCACTGAGCGGCTCATCTGCGCACTCTCAACTCCTGAAGCAGCAGCAACAAACAAGGAGAAGAAGCGTGGGGGGAAAAAAAGATTGAGTGACCAAGAGGGACAACACTGACAGAGTGGCTTTTTTCTTTCTTTTTTTTTTCTTTTTTTTTCACTGAAGGAGAGGAGGGGGAGCAGATGACGAAAAAAAAAGCGCTACTTATAGACACCGATGCTGCTCTTCATGGCTCCTCTCTGAATCTGCACTGAGACTGGGCAAGTTTCAGCGGCTCGCCTCTGGAAGAGATCCCGCTCGCAGCGTTGAGACACTTGGTGCAAGCAGCGCGGAGC